TACACCGAAAAATGGTGTGCCGCCTCGGAATTCCCCAACGTTCCTCATAGCAACACTGTCAAGGTGTCTATAATTTAAAAATCAGGGTTTTTTCGATTTTTTGCACAAAAAACTATCACCGATGGTACGTGCCCGATAACGGAATATCATAATTGCGCACTTGTACCGACCTAAATCAATGTATATACGATTATGTTACGACTTTGATACATTGGCGGTAATTAACATACTCGTGATTATTGGCCTATAAAGGCGATGATTTGTGGAAAAGATTTCATAAATCACTTAACGGTTGGCTCGAGTTCGTTAGAGAGTTGTTTAATTTGCGCTAATTGAGCTCTTTGTATAAAGAGATTAAACGTTTATTGGTTATTATAGGCTAGGAAAATAATTTTGATCTTAAGTAAGTTATTCCAAAATTTCCATTTAGTTTTTTACTGTCAGAATGAGACAGTTCCCTTAGGAATATATAAAAAATCAGATCATTTTTTGTAAATTGTAATAAAAATGTTCAACCTTTCTGGGTTAATACAATATGACAGCAAAACCCGTTTTAAAATGTTAAAGAAACTCAGTACTTCCATTACTCGTAATTCCACGTTCTTAAAATTAAAATCATTCTGCTGCCTGCACTTAACTTTCATTTTTGTTTGTTATACAATATTGGTCTTGTGATAATGCGAATAAATAAGCCTCGAATTCCGTTTGCTTTGCATTCTCAGAACGAAATACGTCAATCGATGGCGCCAGCTTGCATATCGAGTTCTTTAAATATGCAGTCATATAGATTCGCTAAGCCACTCGATTTTCGGGCAATCAGCTTGGGCTTTTTGGAAACTGATATACCACTGCCATATATAAGTATATCTACAGACCCCTTCCTTCGCACCAGAGAAAAACCAGAATATATAGCCGACTGTATGTACTGTGCATTGGCCGCATGCAGCCGTTCGCTTATCGAATGAATTAATACACACTTCTGATTATAAATTCGCAACATCCGGCAGTCAACGGTTCAGAAATATTGAAACCGAATCGAAAAACGTCAATCCAGTTCATTTTCCAGGGCAATGATGGGCACTTAATTGCGTTCTTGTCGGGCCCCAATCAATTACATAGCCGCTAATGAAGACCCGATCCCGTCCATTGATTGACTATCAGCTCTCAACGAACTCTCATGCACACACACACCATATGTATGTTTATATTCCAAACCATGCGACACTCGGTTCTCTGGCATTAACCCAACGTCGTTAATGGAATCAAATCGGAATCGGATTCGGAATCGGAGGGGCGAACGAGCCCCGCGAACGAATCGCACGTCACCCAGTCACACGACCAACCGATCGCCCCATTCTCCTGACCATCCCCCCATGCCATCCCAAATGTGCCTCGGCGATTCATTCATTTTTCAATTCCTAAGACGCAGCACAAAATTTATGAAATAGTTGTAGTAAATTTCAACCAAAGGCCCCCAATAAAGATCAAGATATATGATGTGTGTCTGTGAGAGTTTTTGGGATTTTTTTGAATGAACTTTAAGATTGGCCAAAACCGAAACCAACTAGTTATTTCTGTGCGAGTGGTCAGGTCATATTAGGAAGTTCATTCAGATCCAATCTAGTGTATTTAGTGGCTCTTCCTTCTGAACGAGTTTCGCCGGGTGGCATTGGCATACAGATACAGATACAGCTCTATAGCTCTATAGCTGTGGCTATGGTCGCCACATAATACAGATACTTGTGAAGATAAGAGCAACTACGCATCGCTTGGACATGTAGTATGTCGCCATGTGATAATGTCTTTATGCGATGTCAGGTTATCAGCAGACCCGAGTGGGCCGGGCCTCGTCCAATAGCATAATGATGGCATTTTTACTGCGTAAATCGCCGCCACTACGCCCTGCCCCACATTCTTAAATTCTGAATGTGATACGATCGAAGAATGTTTAAGATTATAAAACCAAGTTATTTGATGTCTTTTTATTATCCCTTATCCACAGGTCACATCGCCTTCAGCGCTTTGGATGACACCTCGCACTCGGTGCACGTTTACAGCATTAATGGCTGTAGTCTGGGCTCCAAGTATGTTTCTGGCAGGGTGACGGGTCTGGCCAGTGCCTCTGACTACCTGGTGGTGGCCGATGATGCCGGCGACATCACCATGAGCAGGCTACACGGGTAAGAAATGTATTTCAAAAATGTTTAGATCTCTAACGCCCGCTTTCTCCTCCTCTGGTTGAACTAAAAGTATGCTATAACCTGAGAATCACATGGAAAGTTAAAAACCTACAATTAAGTTAACCTGAGAATTAAAAAGCGGTCTTAAAAATGTTGGGTCTCTCGCTACTTTCCTTAAATAAATTTAAAAAAACAGCTTTTTTTTAATTAAAAACAGCTCCTAAAAAGTCACATGGAAAGTTAGAGCTAAACACCTATCATTAACTTAACCTGAGGATAAAAACTGTCCTAAAAATGTCAAGTTTTCAACTACTTTCCTAAAATAGGGAGACGAAAACCTTTTTTTTTTTTTTAAAAATACAGGTTAATAAAAAGCAATATAAATATTTTAAAATTAAAAAAAAAAGTCAAATTAATTGTTAATTTTATATTATTATTCCAAATATTTTTTTTGTCTTAATCCTAATTTCGGTTTTACTTATTAATACAAGTATTTACTTAGAAAATTTCTTTTTTAATGTAAGACTAATAATTAAAAAAAAAAATATTTTATCTACATATCATCTTTATAAGTTGTTCTATCTTACTTGTTCATTTTTATAATTTCTTTTCCAGCTTGAAGCCCGTTTTCGACATTCCGCTGCACGTGCCCATCCAGACGGTGGTGGTCACACCGGGCAACACCCACATCCTGGCTCCCCTGCGAGATGGTCGACTGGCGGTGATCGCCGTGCAGCTGCCCTCAGGCGGCAACAAGAAGCATTCCGTGCTCAATGTGTAAGGTTCAGCAGGAGCTGATCTGCTGGACATTGGACTCAATGAATTCCCGAATTTTACCCCCTGCCTAGCATAAGTTTTGTAACCGTGTACCCGTGTTTCTTTCCCCTGCTTTTAGCCCACCATAGATTTAGTTTTTGTGTCTTGTGATTTGTCATGATCTATATTTTGTGTCGTTTCCCATGCTACGTGACGTGCCAAAAGCAAAGCCTTTGACCAACAAAAAATTCCCAGAATGTTGACAAATGTGTCTAAAGATATACAGCAAAGTCGAACCATTGCAATCAAAGAATTTCCATGCCAACTCAGCAGTATTTTCCTATAAAAAATGTGCTTGTACACCTGTCGTAGTGGACGATCCTCCATCCTGGGCCGCAAAAATGATCGATGGCACGCTCATTTTCACTTGACAAAAATCTAAATAAATCATCAATCATTCTGAGATATCTCTTGGCCACTGAGGCGGTGGTGGAGGAGGAGGAGATGGAGCGCGGCGTGGCCTGCCGGTGGAAACTGGTTGTCTGTCGCACTTGGCAACCACTACTAACTGACTCACCAGCGACTTTCAAATTGGCCCAAAAAAAGCGAAAAAAACCCCCGAAAAGACTAAAAAAAAATAGCGCCCGGCAACAGCGGCAAGGCGCTTAAAAAACGGCAATCGCTCGCTGAGATCGACGGCATCCAGCTGCTCGGCAGATCAAGAGAAACACTTTCGTTGCGCCCCCTTTTCGCCTGCAGACACAACCAAAAATAGAGCCCAGAGATCTTCGTCCCATTAAGTACGCACACTCGGATCACATGGTATCCAATCATTAACAGAGCATTTCCAATCGAAAGTATTATCACCGTACGATTACAGTCCGTCCACACAGAGCCACACACTTAGACACACAGTAGACAATACCAGTGCCAGAACAAAAGATACCGAATCGAATCCGATTCTTTATATTACCATAACCATTCCCGAAACCTTTGATTGTAAAAACCCCGGCAGACTCTAAAATCTGAAATTCCAAAGACATGCGACAATATCAAAGGTGAATTGAGTATATATTTTACGAACGAATTGTAATCGCATATATAAAGACGAAAACTTTCGCACAATCGGGACTTGAGATTAGCCCATGCTCTGAAGTCCTGGGCAGCTGTAACAGAACAAGCTATCAATATCTTACTCCAGCAATATAGTATATCATCTGTGTACGTAAAGGTCTTTCGGGATCGAGTTCGTTATTTGTTGTTAAGATCGTATCGCGTAATATCGTAAAACTGTTTTCCCCGTTCAATGTATGTACGTAACTGTACGAGTTTATGTAGATAATGTGACTATCCGTAGTTTGTAGATCTGTCAATAAAGTGATGATGAAAACCACAGTAAATGTTTGTACCCCATTGAGTACTTGGTATTTTCAATTTTCTTGTATTTATTCAAAAACAATCGCTTGAAAGTTGATTAAAATTATAAACTAAACAATTAGAAAACCATATTTCAGTTCTATATGCTTAAAAATTAAAACATAGTGGGGTAGCTTATGAAACTGATTAATTCCGTGAATACTATTCCGTGATTCTATATGGGAGGCGATGCTGGATGAATTTGGTCGATCAATAAATTAGTTGTAGAAATGATGGGTGCACATAAATACGAATTGGGTGATTGACTGATTGATTGATTGTGGTTCGAGTTACAAGTTATTAGTGCTTGGGTTTTCGGAACCCTTAAGTAAACGGCCAATTAGTTTAAATACGTTAACTAGTGCTGCCTGAATCGCTAGGAACAATCATTGCTACTTATAAAAAACCAAAGACGCGTGATTACAAGCCGATAACTAAAACTAGAATTGAAGAAAACCATATGTAGTAGGTACTATAATTCGAATGCGATACGTGTGACTGCTATTCGAGGGTAGTAAGTTAGAAAATTAGTGTCTAAGCCGGCATTAGATACGGTTAATTACCTGGATTACGAGCTAGATTGTGCTTAACCTAAATTGTACATAACTGTAAATCGTATGACCTTTTGCTCCATCATTTTTTTGTATATTTTTTTTCTCTAAGCATATTTTCTTTTTCTTTTCACGCATCTTCGAAGGCATTTGATCTATCTAACTAACTAGATGAATTCCCGTCGTCAATCCAATAGCCTTTTTGTTTCTTATTGTGGTGGTGGGATCTTTAGTCTTCATCCTTCTGGAAAAAAGAGAAGAATAGGATAGGGGATGAGTTAGGAGGAGTTGGGAATAGGTGCTTTGGGATAAGGAATACTTACAAGTACGGGATACACGAAGGTGTCGGCGGTGTCTTTGCCCACTGCGTTCCGGGCTATGCACTTGTAGTTGCCCATGTCCTCCCACTTAATGTCCGAGATCAGGAGATCGCCGCTGGGCAGGACCCGGTGGCGATGTCCCTGGACGATCTCCTTGTTCTCGTTGTTCAGCCAGGTGACCTCGGCCCGGGGACGAGCGTGCACCTTGCAGGGCAGCTGGATGTTGGAGCCCATCAGGTCGAGATGGGTCTTCTCGGTGTAGATGATGCGCGGCTTTTGGGCACCAGGGTAGGTCTTCTCCGGCGTGAGGCGAGAGGATCGTGGCGGATGCACCACAGTACTGGCGTAGATCGTCTTGGAGCCAGTGCGTCCCACACACGTGTAGGTGCGCGACTCGCTCAGCACGTGATCGATGATGTGCGAGGATCGGACGCGCACAATGGCACTGGGCGCCTCTTCGGCCACCTGGTTGGAGTCCAGGTCGTCGAGCTCCGAGCGGGGCAGGTGACCCACCACCCACTGGATGCTGGGCACCTGGGAGCCCATCATCTCGCAAACGATCTCGATGGTGGCACCATCCGCCTGCTGCAGCTTCGTCGGCGGCGTCTTGGTGAACTTGAGCCAGTCGGCGTCGAAGGCTCGGTCCCGGGGCTTGTCCTCCGTCTCGATGGAGTTGTCCACATCGTTGCTATCGTCTACCAGGTCCACGGCTCTTCCGCGGACAGTGGCGATACTGCCGAACAGCAGCAGCGCTAAGGCGCACACATGTAAATTCATTTTCTGCAAGAGATCACAAGAGAATGGAAATCGGAAGTGAGTTCAAAGTTCAGTCATGCGACTCTAATATAGGTTATTAAACCCAAGAGATAGCCCACGTTTCTAGCAAGTCATCCCCTCTAGTTATCACCTCCTATAAATCAGGGGAGGTCTCCGTCTCAGAGTCTGTTTCCCCGATAAGAATGAACACACAAGGCCTTCAGCCGCCGGGCTCTAGAACATTACTAACACTTGCGAAATGGCATGGCTCTCGGAAGCCGTAATCCTTTCCCGAAAAGAAACCTACCCATAGTATCAAACCCGAGAGATCTTCGCTCTCAATACGAATTTCACAATGCCACGACACCAGAAAAAAATGGGGAAAAAAATTAATGATATAAGAATCTTGCGTGGGCCGAATCAGAGGCAGAAATCGAAAACGGAATGACACCATTGTGACGTCAATTTGTTCGAATTCTACAACTTGATTCAAATTCACATTCACCCACGCTTCAGCCGCAGATCAAGGGCTAATGTGTCTAGAGTCTAGACTGGAAAAACTGCGTGACCGATTAATTATTCATATAGTTTCGAGGGTATTATGTATTTTGCCCCCTAGTCATTCATTCGCCAATCGCTGGCGAATGTTGCATCAGACGGTTTGCTTGGTTTTTGCCCTTCGATGGGGATTTTAATTTGGGATTTCTACGAATTTCGACGACATTGATAGATAGGACTCGAAATCGAATCGGGTCACTCGAAGTCGTCACTGATCTATTGTTAACGCATTACTCACACACTCACCTTTTGATTTGATTTCTTTTTTCTCTTCCGGTAAAAAATGTTTGCAAATTTCTCTCTAACGTTGGATGATATATCAACAGGTGCTATCGAGGGTAGGCCTGTCGTTATGTTATGAACGAATTTATCAGCTCTATGTTGTGGTGGCTCCTGCTCTGGGCTTTCTGGTTGAAGTTGAGCAGCAGTTGGCTTAGCACTGACATAGGTCCGGCGCTGGATGCCGTCTTGGAGGTCGTGCAGCTCAGTGTTGGCGGAATCTTGGCTGCTTGCCGTACGTTTGGGTTCAAGGATGGATCGGATACGTATTGGATCGTATGGGTCCTTGGCTACGGGGATCAGGTGGCCGGGTGTTGGAGGTACGGTGCGGTGGCTTCAGTGGGCTTTGGTCTCGGCGTAGCGAATATCTAGCTGGCGGCTCTGGCACATTCGATCCTCGATTGGGGTATTCAGTGATCGGAACGGGCTTCCTTGGGCTTGGATGTGGTTGTGGTATTGTTCTTGTTGTCGCGGCACTCGTTTGAATACGCACGGTTCATCGACATTACACTCGAGTCAAGGCTTGGCTTAAAGATTTTTTTTTTTTTTTCAAATTTCTTGTAAGGGGGCTGCTGCGATGGCGATCGGTGTGTGGTTCACGAATTGAAAGATGTGAGGATATCGGATCGGATCAGTTGGGATCTCAAAAGTTGTGTTCAACAGCTGGAAACTGAAACAGAACTGAATTTTGAATCGCCGCGCTGTTCCATTTATACGCGACGCCGGCTCACTCACACAGCCACACACACTGGGCGATCGCCTCGCTCTCCCGCTCCCGCTCCTCCTTCTCCTTCTCTTCTCCGCCGCCTGCCTCTTCCGCTCTTCGGCTCTCTTCGCCGCTCCCTTCCGTTCCACTCCGTTCCCCTCCCCTCCCACCATGCCATCCGAGTGACAAGCGACCAGCATTCAATTACTCGTTCTCAGATCGTAATTCTTTATGCCACCGCCGCACCGGGAAGGTGCGGAACAAAACAGATAAAACCGGACGGGGGATTCGATTATCCGCCTCGGGATCTGGCTTTCTGGCTTTCGTCTGCCTAATTGCACGTCTACAGTCCAACGTGGATAATTTGGAAACGCAAGTAACTCAGGATTGGTGACAACTTTTTAGACCCATATACCATCCTCAGAGATTGCTGCTTTTTATTCATACCTTAATATCTTAACACTAATATCCAGATGATTGAAATTTACAAGGCTCGTTTAAAATATGAGATCCAGAGGTTCAGGTTATAACTTTTAGACCCATATACCATTCCTAGAGATTACTCCTTTCTATTCATATCTTAATATATGTATTTATATCCATATATAGATGATATTTTGAATAAATTTTCTTTGAAATTTACAATGTTTGTTTAAAATATAAGATTCCGAGTTATAGGGTATAACTCTGAGACCTATATACCAATCTTAGAGACCACTGCATTTTATTCATTATTACATACAAGATATAAGTGCATGATAGTTTCACATTACATATATGGTTATATAAAATTACTTTACATTTACTAGGTCCATTTAAAATGTGTGGTTCTGATGGATAAGTGATAACTTTCGTAACTCTACACCTATTTATTAACATCAATATGATATATGAGATTTTCCTTGTAAAAACTTGAATTTAAACCACTGGGAACTATTACCAACACCAATATGATCATAAATTATAAAAGGTGTGAAAAGCAAACCCAAACCATACATATATGTACATATGTACATACCAACATTTCTTTTTGGGGTTTGACACGTTGTCGTTAAAAATTAAGGCTTTAATCTTAGGTGCCAAGTGTTTATAAATAAACCAAGACTTATAAATATTATATCAATGTGCCCAATATTAAACCACAAAGCCGTTCAAATTATTGAAGTATTCCTGTATATATCGAGACCATAATTTAAATCTGCTGATTTGATTTCACAAATCTGAGTGGTTTTAATTATTTTTCATGATTTTCGATTCAATTTCAATATTCGCAAGCAATCTCCCAATTTAATAACCACCAATCTGAACCAGAACTTGGCTTAAAGCCCGTTGACAGAGTAAGCATAATTCAAATGTCTCGCCGAGAACAGACCACTTCTTTTCGTTCCAGTCTTCAGTAAAGTTAGGTAGTTGGGGATCGACTTGCAGGGAGTGGGGTGTCAGTGGCATGGTGCAAGGTTCCATTAGCCGAGACCGTGTCTGGGTTTCAGTCCGATTCCGAGTCCAAGTCACTGGACTGTCCGTCCATCTGTCCGATCTGTCCGTGCGATCGCCTCATTGCAATCAAGTGTGAGTGCCAGTTTGTCTGCGGCGATCGTTGGCTGTACGAGAAGCGGAGGAGGGGGAGTGGCGGTACGATACCACAAGTTACACTTGCAGGAAAAATTAGTGACTTACAAGTTGTTAAAAAAAATATTTTAGCTGAGTTGTAGAGTCTGTTTTGATAGTACTTTACAGATCTCCAAAAACAAATATGTACAAAAAAATGAAAACCCGATATCACCTCTTCTATTCTAACAAAGTTTAGATTGTAGGTATACTAACAAAGTTCTCTGTTAGCAATTCAACATTGGTTGAAATGTTCTCTTATCTTTGTTCTGCTAATAAATCTTTATGAAGATTAAAGCTGAATTTTAAGTCCCCTCCAAACTCTATTTAGATAAAGATGGTACTGTAGCACCTAAACTTAACCTATCCTAACAAAGGTTTCTTTACGTAATTTTTGGCTTTTCAAAATGTTCTATTATCTTTGTTCTGATATCATATAATATGATCAAAGAACAATACCTAGATTAAACGAATCTGAAGCCCCATCCAACCTCCGCAAAAAATCATATAAGGATTTCTTGTTAATACAATTCTACTTAGGATATGATCATATGATGATGATATGTTAAGGTACCTCTTTTTTCCAAGTGCATTTCTGATTGCCTGTCGCAGATGTAAGTGTACATACGTAAGGGGATAGGGGTGTGGCGGAAAGGGGCGGGCAACGGTGGGAGGGGCCGAGGGGCGGACCAAACTAGTCTGAGCTGGCGTTGCCGGCCGGGAGCCGAGAGCTGGAAACTGGGACCGGCGGGCTGGGGACCGGAGGTGCAGCCAAAATGGCAGACAGACTGGCAGCCACATCGCGTGTTCGCTTTCCGCTGTTGCCGGGCGGCAGCCACTTGTGGTTAAGGGGGGGTGCGGTGGAGCATGGGGAGGGGGGTTGATATAGAGGCACCGCGACTAGTTTCTTTCTTCGCTTTATCGACAAGCCACATCGACAACTAGATTCAATTCTACAAGTAATTTATTTATTGCACGTTACACAAATCGTCCGACCGCAGACTGGTCCCCCCCTCCCGAAACCCCCCTTTCCCTGTCCATGTGTCACCACCCCTTTTGGTCCCCCCCTCCTCCCAAAACACTTGGCAGCGGCATCGAGCCAGCCACAAAGCGAAATTCAATTGAGAGAAAAATCTTGCAGGTGCTTGAAATTGTGTCTCGTGCCGCTGCCGCCGCCGTATGCTCCGTCAATCCCCCTGAAGCCCCCAGATCTGGGCAGCCTCCTCCTCCTCCGCCCCCCGGGACACCTCATCAGCCTTGGACGGCACACCTCAAAGCGCTGGCAACGATATCGTAACGCTGACGTAAGGGGCACTGAATTGAAATGGCCTTTTGATGCGACTTGGGGAGCACTTTCTACAATAGGCGAGGGACCGATCCATTCCATTCCGAACCGATCCAATCCCCTCACGTAACATTTGCCAGTGACGCGGTCAGGGGTTGCACTTCCTAGATGACCGCCACTGGCACACGGATGCAATTGAGCGGGATCAAACTGAACAATCAGAAATACAAATCGGATATTTTGAGTGTAAATTGAATTCGATAGCCCTAATAAAACTTGATGGGAGTGTGATTTAACAAAGTGGAAATCAATCAAAAGTTAAGATTGTATCAATTGACTTGAGAATTTTAAGTTGTGGACAGGAAAGGGAAGAGATATATAACTTTAAGGTAATTTCAGTCTATTGAAGAATTGCACCCAACGATAGGGTTGAAATGAAATATAAGGCTTAGTATGTGCAATAAAAGTAGCATACTTATATAGGGCTTTGCAAAATATTATTTTTCCCCATTAAGACAGGACCTGTGCATTTCTCTAAGTGTGTTTTAGGGGCCTTTCCAAATGAGATCACCACGGATCGTATCAGAA